AATATATATATAGACATCAAAATATCAATACCAGCTTGATGACAGTTATTCAAATTGAAGGGTCGGCATTTGTCTTTAATATTTCCAGTAGTTCCTATTAATTCTTCTGCGAGGTGTTGATAATCTGCGTGCTTTTCTGAAATTTTGCTTTGTCTCTTAATCATGTCGTGGATGGCTTCTGGTTCTCAGATTATTAGGAGTGTCAGCCAGTGGTCAGCTGGTACAAGCCAGATTGAAGAAAGTATTCACAATGCATACTGTTCCCTTATTGACAGAGCAGACCATTATGTCTACATTGAGGTTTGTGATTGGATATTAAACGGGGATTTCAGTTTCTGGGATTGGATCTTACCTGGAGCTTTTAATTTCATTGTTTGTCATCGTAATTTTCTTTTCAATTTCTTTACCTTTGTAATAAATGCCACAGAAAAATTGAAATATTATTGAGACTAGAGGCATTAACTGACAACGAGGGTTATATAAGTCAATTGATGATTAATATTTTCCCTGAATAAGAAAACATGCCTTAATTTGGAATTAACAAAAATGGAGAACAAGGTTATCTTAGTGAGATGATGTACGTGATAAAATTTCTTATCTGTCAATACCTTTGGCAGCGACCATCAATGTCTTAGAATAGAATTTGCATGGGGTTATAGTGAAATATCTGTGAACAATATCCATACAATTTTCTTGAGCTATATGTTCTAAAGCTTCACTAGTCGAAATTTCTGATTGACTTCTGTTGAAATTCGTTTCAGAATCAATTCTTCATCTCTGGTCTATCGGGTGATGAAATTATTCAAAATCGTGTTTTAGAGGCATTGTATAGGCGTATTATGCGTGCTGTCGACGAAAAGAAGTGTTTCAGGGCTATTATTGTCATACCTCTACTACCCGGTTTCCAGGTATACATTTTGTTCTTGGCCATTTGCCTTTGCTTATTATTATTTTTTTTTCATCTCACCATGTTACTTTTTTTAATAGGGTGGAGTGGACGATTCTGGTGCTGCTTCTGTGAGAGCTATTATGCATTGGCAATATCGAACAATATGCAGAGGAAACCGTTCAATACTGCATAACCTCTATAACCTTGTTGGCCCTAGAATGTATGATTATATATCTTTTTATGGTCTGAGAGCTTATGGAAAACTTTTTAACGACGGACCTGTCGCCACTAGTCAGGTAAATATGCATTTTCTTGGGACCTCAGTTGCTTTTCATTAGCTTCTTTTGGGACCTTGGTATCGTGTGGATGAAGGTTCATGAAATTGGTCGCAATAATAGCTGTGTATGTTGTCAGGTTTACGTTCATAGCAAGATCATGATTGTTGATGATCACACAACATTGATTGGCTCTGCAAATATTAACGACCGAAGTTTGCTTGGATCTAGAGATTCTGAGGTATGATTTATATCCTTCACTGCAACTTTTGTTCTTTCATTGGTCTTTGAACAAGTTAAAAGTGCATTTATGTCAATTAGCCCATGTGTTCGATCTCTCCAATTGTTGTCAGAACTGATAGTTCTCTCTGTAATTTTGTATATCTGTTGCGTTATTAATATTTTTATACTGTTACAGCTTTGTTCTTATAAAAAATTGTTAAGCTATTCCTCGCGGTTGAACTAACAGTGGTTGACATTTTGTGATTTCTCATGATATTGTCCCCAATTTGCTTGACCTTCATTGTTCGTCAGGGTTGCCTTTTTTCTGTGTTTTATACTTTTATTATCATAAGGATCCGTCCCATTCAATCATGCCACCTCACAGGTGAGGTTTTGCCTGTTCTTGTTAGTTTTAACTGGATTTTGAAATTTTGCAGATTGGAGTACTTATCGAGGACAAAGAATTTGTTGACTCATGGATTGGGGGAAAGTCTTGGAGAGCCGGAAAATTTGCGTTGAGTCTTCGCCTTTCTCTGTGGTCTGAGCACATTGGTCTTCATGCTGGAGAGGTTAGATAAGGTCCACATAACTATAATTTTAGTGGTGTGACGAGCACAAAACAATATCGAGAAACCAAACTGAACTTTCCGTTTGCATGAAAAGCTGAATGGAAATATTGGTGCATTTTCCAGTAGTCATCTTTTCAGTTCGTATTCTGCCACTGGATAAGAATATTTTACATTTTATTTTTTGATTTAAAATTACAATCTTTTGAGTTTTGAGCAACACACATGGACGATATGTTATGTCACAGTTTGAAAATATTTCTTTACATTTCTTCATTTGTGTGTTTTTGCCTTTGAACTATAAACTATAACAGTAAAACTTTGTTTGCAATATGTAACATTCCTTGAATCATTTTGTTTAGTTCAAATCTAGAGCAAATATTCACTTACCAAAGCACTCCAACTAAAGTCGGTTTGATTTTTTAATTTTATATATTTCTTCCCCAAGATTTTGGCTTGTTGAACAGAAACTTAGAACCAAAGAAACAATTTTAGTTCACTTGGAATATAAATCCGTTTCTCACCTTCACTATTCTATTCTGTTTTAGGTTGACCAAATAAGAGACCCTGTGGCTGATTCAACCTACAAGGATATATGGATGGCAACTGCAAAGGTGAAGATTCTGCGTGCCAACTAAAATATCAAACATTTATTAGTTTTTATGGCCATCCAATATAAAATACTAACAATATTAATTATAATTATAATCATAATTATCTCACCAGACAAATACGATGATCTACCAAGATGTCTTCTCCTGTATACCCAACGACCTAATACACACAAGGTACATTTGAGCTATATACCAATCTACATTTGTTTTTCTTTTCCAATTTTTTTTTTTTANTGCGGTTGCTTACAGGGCTTCATTACGACAATCCATGAGCTTTTGGAGGGAAAAAATCGGGCATACGACCACGGATTTAGGAATAGCTCCCGAAAAGTTAGAAACCTTCAAAAATGGTGACATTAAGGGCACAGATCCTATGGAGAGATTGAAATCCGTGAAGGGAAATCTAGTTTCGTTTCCTTTGGATTTTATGTGCAAAGAGGATTTGAGACCTGTGTTTAACGAGAGTGAATATTATGCGTCCCCTCAAGTTTTTCACTGAGGTTGGGCCAGAAAATCGAGATTGAACTGCAATTACTCTTAATACTTGTCCAGAAGTGGTATTGTTGTTATACTAACGACATAGCATATGAACCACACGTTAGAGGAAGAAAGTTGGGGAGATAGCCTATAAGTAGAGGTGCACTTGGGATCTTTAAGTACCTTTAGTACATTTTTCTGATTAACTTTACATGGGGATATGTAATTACTTGTTTGTGTATCTTAGTGTGAATTGGATGTACAATATAGTGTGGCAAATTATTTTCTTTGGGGTCCATAGTTTTGGACTGTGGACATGTTGTATTGAAAATTGCCATCAAAACATGTTGAATTTTGGTACTTAATAAATGAGTTTCTAGACAAAGCTCAAAGCTGGTTCATTTATGATTACAGATTCAATGTCACCGACCCCAAGCTCTTGTGATGTTATAAATAATGTCGAGTAAATGCAACACAAACTTGAGATTCCGGGTTTGAGTTTTGAGGAAATTATGTGCAGCACGAGCCCGCACCATTTTATTTACACTCCTACAATTAAAACAAATAATTTTGCACAATTGTCATCCAATGTCATTTTAATTGTAAAGTTACGAGAATGGTTGGTTAGGCAATATAATCTCTTAACTTATCACGATTTATTTAATTGAGGCAGTTACTAAAAAAAAGTGTTTCATCTCTATCACTTGGAACCGACCGACGCCTCTGTCAACTCAAACCGCAAACCCTACTCCCTAATTTCATGGCTAAAACCAAAATCCCGCCCATTCCCCGTGAGACTCACACTCGCGGCCCCGGTGGTGATGAACAGAGGAGATCTAGTGCTCGTATTAGGCAAATAGTAGTAAGAGATAAAGGCAAGCTCGTGCAGAAGAAACTCTTTTTTGGAAAAAAAATGAAGCCAATTGAAACTCGTAAGGCAGTCGACAAAGCTCCACATGTTACCAAGAACGGCAATTCGGATTCCGACGACTTTCAGTCGGATCATGGAAAATTCCCTCCTAAACAAGCCCAGAAACATCAAAAAAGAAAGATCCCCAATTCGGCTGAAGGTGAAGAATCAGAGGATTCAGATTATCGCGGTGAAACCCAAACCGAAGGAGATGATTCGGAAGAAAGATTGTTCGATGACTTCGAGGATGAGCAAATATTCGGAAAAAGAAGCAAAAAAAGGAAGAAGGAGATCCACAAAGATGAAGGTCATTACAAAAAGAATAGGTCAAAAAAAATTGCGCAAATGGAAAATTCTAACCGTGAGTCTCAGAGGGCCAATGTATGCAAGGTGATATTAATTCTTTTTTATAATGTATTGTAAATCAAATTGGGGAGTTTTAATGAGTCTTTAAGTGAAAGAATGGTCTGTATATATGAATATACGTCCGCTCCTTCCATTGTTCTCATGACTTAGTTGAATTGTATGGTTGACAGTCAAAATTGTCTTTGCTTGTTTTCTAGATTTGTGGGGAATTTTTTTGTATGATTAACATTCAGTCAACACATAATAATATTTTTGTTGGGTTTTGTTTGAAGACAGGATCTGGTCACATGGATGAAAAAATTAATTTTTGTTTGATATCGATTTTATTGCATTGTCCACATGGTTGTAAATCTGGTCCCCTTACATCTTGTTTAATGGTTGAAAAAACCTACTATTCTTTATAAGGTTTTGGACCCATTAGTTTTATTATTTCAATATGTTTGGTATACTGCTACTGAGGAACAATAGATAATTATGTATATGTATTGGTATATGTTCTACGCATATTTACATTATGTTCGGTATATGTTATTCACACAGAGAATATGTTTTTTGTTATATGTCCTGTGTACAGTGATAATAAGTGTTGTATATGTTCTGTCCACATTGACATTATGTTTGGTCTATTTGTACTAACAGACATATTTACTATTTAATTCATTTTCAATTTAAAACTCCTTTTAAGTGTTATTTTGCCTGTCTGATTGGAAGATATGTTATATCATATGTAATAATTATATCTCTGTTAGGACAATACTACTCAATGGGAGTTAGTTTTTTTACTGTTTGAAGTCCCTTTTATCTGTAATATTCAAATATATGTTATTTAATATTTTTTTCTTTAGGAATGGGCATTGCTAATACCAAATCCCAGGGATATAAAAGTCAAAGTTCTAAACAGTAATGACAACACGAGAGACAAGTCTACCATTGCTGATATCAAGCTAATGCTGACTATGGAACAGTTAGAGTTGTTTAGGGCTTCTACATTTGGCAAGTTCTTGGATTTACCCTACTGCAAGGTTCAAAATCAGCTTATAAATCAGATTCTTTTAAGGGAGGTACGTCAGACAAGGAGCGATGAGATTTGGCTTGATTTTGGAGGGAAATTTCTTCGTTTTGGCATAGAAGAGTTCGCCTTGATATCTGGATTGAAATGTACGGGGCCTTGCAAGAAATTGAATATTCCGAAAGTGTCCAATGGCTTGTACGACAAGTACTTTTCTGGAGCTGCGTTGAACAGAACTTTCATTCGATGGCAGTTTAATCAAAAATATTGGAAAACTGACGAGGATGCGGTCAAATTTGCAAAGTTGCACTTAATTGCAAATTTTCTATTGGGTTCGCAGGACACTCTTCGGGTGGATAGATGCTATGTTGACATGATAGATAATGCCGAGTGTGATGATTACAATTGGGGAACTGAGGTTTTTGAGTTTACGATTCAGCATTTGAAGAAATCCATTCGCTCTCGAGAGCAGATCCATAAATTTGGAAATAAGGATAAAGGTAGCCACATGTACAGATTATATGGGTTTATCCTTTCTCTCCAATTTTGGTTCTACGAGGTTTGCAACGCTGCAGAGGGTGTCATTTGCACACGTGTGGATGGCAACGACATACCAAGAATGCTTAAATGGGAAGTCCGTGGCAACTTCAATCGTCTCTTTAAGCAGAGCATCTTTTCAAATTTCGATCCTAGCAAGGTAATAAATAACTCTTATTGTACTTAGTTTCCCAATATATAAATATATATTTGTATTTATTAATATAACAACATTATTTAATCTATTTATTTATTTTCTTTCTTAGTTCAAGAACTTGATACCGACTGAGGAAGAGGAACGGACTTTATTCATCAATGATTTTTTCAAGAGGAAAAATGAATTCAATCGTACTGAAATACCGACAACCGAACCACCACAGCATACCAATGAACCAGACGTCATCAAACATCTTGACACACTTACCGCTGAGGTTCAAAGTCTGAAACAGATGTTAATCGATTTTTCCAACCGCGTTTTTACAGAATTTGCATTATTCAAAGAAAAATTCATCGTAAGTATATGATACACTTTTTAGTGTAATTTTATATTTATATATACATATATTACTGTTATTATGTATATATGAATATATATACATATACTGTTATTGTTATATTTATATGTAACATATATTGTTATTACATATATATATGCCTATATACATATACTGTTATTGTTATATTTATATGTAACATATACTGTTATATTTATATATTGTTATTATATGTAACATATACTGTTATTGTTATATTTATATGTAACATTTACTGTTATTAAATTTATATTTTCATATACATATGCTGTTATTGTTATATTTATATGTAACATATACTGTTATTGTATATACATATACTGTTATTATATATTGTACATTATGTCTTAAGTTATAAATCAGATTTTTTTCAAACATTTCACAAATATGTGTTTTTGTGTATGTTGTGTTTGTAAATCATCATAATTGTTTGTTACTCATTTATTATATTAGGTTTCTCAAGATGACGATGGAAAAGCCTCTGATGAACCATCTGATGATTTAGACTTTGGAACTCGTCAAACGAAAGAAGACCCTCATTTCGATTCCGGGAAACAAACGGTTGGTGTATTAATTTTGCTTTGTACTATTGTAAAAGTTTAAGACTTATTTATTTTCATATATATATATATATATAATTATAATGTGTATTATTTAATTATATAATAATTATATTGATTATCATTTTTTTGGTATAACAGGATTGTAATCAGAATATGCCTGATGCTGTTTTGATCAACCAGGACAGGTAACAATATCTGTTCACAATACAATTGTTTATTTTCATATAATACTTTTTTTTTTTTTTGCAAAATAAAGTTGTATAATAAATTGATATTTGTAGAAGCCAATATACGTTATCTCTTCTTGTCATTTGTAAAGCAGGATGTCCCCGAGCGGCCTGTATTAGCAACAAGAACAAAATCAGAAGCTCTGATGAAGAAGGCCAATGATCATGTATTTAAGGATTGAATAATAATATGATGAATCTATATTGTATACGTATAGTATATATTGTATATTTTAATTGTATAATAAATATATTGCTTATTATATTTATGGAATAACAGGAGGATAATCATAACACACCGGAGGTTGTTCTCGATCAACCACTACAGGTTACCCCCGCTGTTGCATAATACAGTTGTTTAATTTCATGTAATTTTTTTTTTCTTGCAAAATAAAGTTGTGTAATAAATTGATATTTGTAGTAGCAAATACGTTATCTTTTCTTTTCATTTGCAATCAGGATGTTCCCGAGCGGCCTGTATTAGCAACAAGAACAAAATCAGAAGCTTTGATGAAGCGTGCCGCTGATTGTGTATTTAAGGATTGAAAATAATATATAGAATTTTTATTGTATATGTATAGTATATATTTACACATTTATATGTAATCTCTCATCTAATTATATATTAAATTTTTCAATCAGATTCGTGCGCCTTCTCCACCAGTTAGCACTACGTTTGATGATTTGGATCCATTTTCTCCACTTGATACACAATTCCTTGAAGAAGTTGATAGAAATACGGCAGTAAAATTGAAGAATTCATCGAAGGAGAAAGAACAGGTAATTATAATATATTGTCACTATAGTAATACTAGTTATACCATCATTGCAATTTAATATATATATATATATATATATATTATATATATATATACTTATACTTATGATGTTTTTTTATCCTTAATTTTTTAGATTATTGCAAACCTGAAAGTTGATGTCCACAAGGGGTTAGATGTCGGCAACGCATTGACATTGACTCCGCCATCCTTTGATTTAAACATTGAGGGTCTCCCATCCACACAACAATTGAAAGTGGACAACAAAGTACCACAAGACCAGCCAATGGTCATACTCTAATCTACTTTTCATTTTTATTATATTACACAACTAATTCATTCGCTATAGCATATATATTACACAATTCTTTTGTATTTCAGGAGATACTAATGGAGACTGGAGAAATTGTAAAGACGAACGTCGTGCAGCCCCAGTGCTATGAAGTTGCACTGATACCAAAACCAAACACCACGGTATTAGGGTCTGCGGAAATAAAAAAAATTGAAAGGAGCCAACGCCGTATCAAGAAAGGAAAAATCATTTCGAAGTCATGTCCCTTTGATGTTGATTTCTGGAGTAGATCTCGAAAGTTAAACACTGGCGGTTTTCTGAAGTGGTATTTGATTGGTTCACTCAAGAGAGGTCGCAAGTTAAATGACGGGTACGAAAAATATTCTTATAATATATATGTATTAAAAGTTATTGAACTCTTAAAATAATCTGCTGATAAGGGGTTTTATATACTATTTATATTTGTAATTTCTAATACTTATATTATAATTTCTTAGTCATAGTATATTATAATTTATAAAATGAATTCACAATTTTCTAAAATTGAATATGCTAAGTAGATTGACAGTGTATGCGCAGTATATCCAACTTATATGCTCAGGGTACTCATAATATATTCACAATATATGTACAGTATATTCATATTTGTATACTGAGATTTATATTCCTGCTACATAATAAAATATTATTTTCTGTTATTGTTGATTGTTGTCAATTATAATAATATTGTCAAATATTCTCACATATATTTTAATTCAACAGGATGGTTTACTATGATAAAAGAAACAGGAAATTGGACCCACCATTTGATTTCAATGTTTATGTTGTGTGTGATAAAAACTGGTTTTACACACTTTATGAGTCAGGATGCTTCCTTGATAGCAGCGTAAGTTTAATCTTATATATTAATCATTTTTTGTCGTTTATACAATATTTTGTTATAATTTGTAATATATATATATATATATATATATATATTTTGATCATATTTTTTTCATGTACAGCATATGGATGTATTGTTCTACTACCTACGAAAGCTTGGGTTGTATGGTACTGCTGAGGTTAGGTTTACGACGACTGATGTGTTCTTTGACCAACACATCAAGTCGTTATATGCTCTATACGTTTCACAATCGTGCAACAATGGAATATGCTCTGTTCATGATATTATCGTTGACTACATTATGGGATATAGAATTATATGCGGCTTGTCATGGTTTGAAGTTGAGGACATTTTTTTTCCCATGCACGTGGAAGTAAATGGTATTGGGCATTGGATATTGGGTAGATTGTCATTCACTGATATGAGGTTTTGGGTTTATAACTCGTATCGTTCTGTTGATGTGATGCGGTTGTACTAGAAAGTGTACAAGCGTATGTACGATTGATCCCAATTTTTCTTGGGGTGGTGCAATTTTACAAAAAAAGGAGTGATGTCAATACTGATGCGGGCGGGCGGATACCAACAGACTTTAAGAGCCCATTTGAGGTTATGATGGCGACCAACATCCCACAGCAACTGAACAGGTTTGAATTCACAAAAAAACTCAAAATATAAAAATAATAATAATAAAAACTTTCAGTTCCATCTTTTCAACAGGTTGGAATATTATTAATCTTTTTTTAATTGGTATATATTCTGACTATGATATTTATATATTTTTTTAAACTACATATAATTTATGTTTTGCAGCGACTGTGGAATATCCGTGGCATCTTATGCGGAGCACATCATAACCGACGTTGATATTACTACAAAGAACTTTGATGTTGACATCGAGAGGGAAAGGTATACGTACTTGTTGTACACCCACGGTTTAAAGAAGCAGCAAAACGAGTGTGGAAGTGATGATGATTCTCTTGGTCTGTTGCCCAATGACGTCCGTCTTAGTCTATTAGAATGATTTTGTTTGTTTTGATTTTCATGACTTTTTGAATCAGGGAAACAGTATGTTTTTTAATGTTGGGATTTTGCTTTTTGATACATTCGAATGTTTTAATTGAACGTAATTTGTCATTTTGGATGATATATTTTCATGGTTGATGTTTGTTCAATTTTAAAGTTATTTATTGTCGAAATTAACTTATATTGTGAATATAATAGTTCTTTAATTTTTTTTTATTTTTTCATAAATGACAATATATGGTCTTAGATCAATGTGTATACATATTAATATAAACAGTGCTTGTATTTTGCTTAAAAACATAAGTACTTATTCTTTGTACAAAACATAAAACACTTAATTTCTCCAGTATATGTACGCCTCAATACAACACGGGTTTTTTTTTTTCGTTATATGTACAGAATATGTTCAGTATATGGATTTTTTTTTATATGTGTTCTTAACATCACTTGTACTGCTGATTATCACATGTGTTTTTCTTTCTCATTACAAGTAAATCTATTAGGTATTCCATAGTAGAGAGGAAATAAATTGTAAGTTGAATAATGCTAAATGGTAAATAATTTATATAAAAATCATCTATGAAACATCACAATCAATAAGGTTTCAAATGGCATCCATAAAATGTAATTTTGTTGGGTTCCTACAAGTTTTGACATTATGACCTTTCTCATTACATCTGACGCATCTGTTTTTCGATCTATGCTCCCATCCCGACTTGAATCGTTGCTTCCTTGGGCGTCCTGGCCGAACTCTAGCATCTGGAGGATTTATTTGACGTGTGTTAGGTTTCGTGTCTAATGTGACATACGAGTTTCCTTCTATGGGTATGACCGCTTCATCATATGTAGCCAACATAGTTGAGGTTAAGTAGTGCACTGAACAAAAAGGAATTGGATCCAAGTGGAGAGACTTTATCACGCGTATAGCATGTGGGCATGGGAGTTCATCCATTTGGAATCGGTCTTTCCATCTATATCCACTATATATGCCTTTCCATCAGATAAGACCTTGAAAATCTTGTCACTTGCCTTCTGAACCTACGGGAAAAAAAATATATTTGTAATATCCAAAAGTATATATAAGATATATTTCCAGTATACATATATTTTTATGTCTTACTGAAAATCTTGCAGCTTCCTTATAGTTACTTTCCAACATGTTATGCGGCTTCTTTGCAAGTGTAGTAAATGTTGCCTTCGCCTCTTCTCTGTTTGCAACATTCCACTTCTGTTGCATTTCTCTCAATGATTCTAAGAGAGTTGTTATTGGAAGATCACGAACCGACTTCGTCACGGAATTAATTGTTTCAGCAGCGTTTGACGTCATGGTGAAGTACCTATTTTTTGGACAATGAATTCTTGCCCACTTTTGTACTCCAATTTTTTCAAGATACGGTATCACGTCAGCATTCAACTTTTTTATCTCAGCCATGTGCGAATCAAATTCCTCAACTGTATACGCTCTTGCTGCTGCGTGAAAGGAATCTTTGACTGCTTGCGCTTCTGTTTTATAATGTGTCTTGATGTTATTAGATATGTGATATGTACATAGACAGTGAGCTGCGTTCAGAAATACCTGGATAAAAAAATAAACAAAAAAAAAACTCATATCGTTATATGTATTTAAAAAGATTTATCATACAATAATTATCAGAAATAAGCATCAATTTTTAAATATACAATCACTGATAATAAGTAATTGCTATTTTTTTTAATCAAGATTTAAATACAGTCTTAATAACATATATCGAACATAAACGACATATATACTAAACATATACTGTTTACCTTTGATACAACATTTTTTATGCTGTCATGTCCGTCTGAAACGATGCATAACCCATCTTTGTCACCAATCAGTGCTTGTAATTTGCTGAAAAACCACAAGTATGACTGGTTGTTTTCCGATTCAACGACACAAAATGCAAGCGGAAGAATGTGAAAATTCACATCTTGACAGCATGCAGTTAACAATATTCCCCCATATGCTGATGATAGAAATGTCCCATCGACAACAACAACAGGACGACAATGTTTCCACCCCTTAACTGATGCAGCAAGAGCCATGAACACTTACAAAAAAAATTTTTCTGATGTTGCACACAACTTCAATATACTTCCTGGATTTGAGGCACCTACTTTATCCAGGTATTGTTGAATATAATCATAAGAATCACTAGCCTTTCCACGAACTTCATCTACAGCTTTCCGCTTTGATCTCCATGCCTTGTGATATGATAAATTCATCCCGTATCTGATTTGCATGTCATCAATGATGTCTGCAGCACTATATGAAGTCTTATTGTTCATGAACTTTAACTTGATGAGGTTAGACACAACGTTGGAAGTTGCCTGCCTTTGATTACTAGCTCGAACATCAAACGGACATTTATGTTCAGTTCCAAGCTCTCTTATCATGAAGGTGCTGGAACGACTAACACGAGATGCTTTAACAAACCATGTACAATCGCTAGAGACACACTTCACGTAATATTGTTTAGCACATGACTTCTCCACCCGGAACTGATATTGGTTCTTAATTGCATGAACACTCATAAACCTCTGCAAAATATTTTTATCCTTAAATGTCACACCAACTGACAATTCAGATATCAGCTGATCCTCAATCGATACAATTTTACCATCAGCCGGGTATATGTCCAGTTTATGTTCGGTATATGCTGCGTCTTCTACCATATCTTCTGCTACTTTGCGCGCAAAAGACATAAAGTTCACAGGCCCTTCAGGATTTTCAACATAATTATCAAGAGCAGCATACCTCAACGGAATTATATTTGAGTTGAACGTCACTTCTTCATTACTCGTGTTCCTCTCAACAGATCTCGCCACATCGACTATAGAATTTACTACAACGCATATAGGATACAACGTGTAGTCTGCTTCTCTTGATTTCATTTCAATGTAGAACTTGAGACTTCTATCACCCTTTATGCATATCGGTGGATATCCCTCTTTAAATTGATATTTCAACTCTAAAGTAGAATTCGTTGACGTAACTCCAAGTTCTTCCATTATTGCGCTACACAACTCATCGTAACAGCATTGTTGTTGAACCAAAACACCCGATATCTGGAAATTTTGGTATTGAAACTGGTCCCACTCCCCGCTGTGATGAATGATTATCATCAACGGCGAAGCCATCTACAAAAGAAAAAACATAATAAATAAATAAATCGTAGATATTAAACACCGATTTTTTTGTTCATGATNAAAAAAAAACACCGATTTTATTGTTCATGATATCGTGAAAAAAATGTATATACTGAAAATATACTAGGTGAAACGATTTAGTATACCTTATATTCTGCCGTTGGATTACACCTTTGTTCTTGATCACGAAGAATGTTTGTTTTTGTCGATCAATTTATTGTTGAAAATTTAGCTTTCAATTTTTGAAAATTTGGTCTATTCTAAATCGCCAATGATTAATTATGACAGATTTGAGGTTTATTTTTTCTGTCCATGAAAAACGGAATCTTCCGTTTTTTTCCTTTTTATTTTGATGACGATTTTCCCAAAAAAAACTGATCAGATCCCGGAATCCAGGAAGTATATGGTAACAGATAAGATGGTATCTTTACAATTATTTGCCATTCATTTCGTTTTGTTGCTATTTTTTTTATCTGATTCGTAGGGTTGCAATTATTTATAAAACTGGTAGGATACGTGTAAATTAGCCATGAGTTTTAAGTCCACCTTTGTAAACTTAAACCTTATTTTGAAAATAAAAACATAGATAAAATGCATAATGAAAGTGAGGGAGTGAATTCCTCTTTTCTTTCTTTCTTTTTTTTTTTTCAACATCAAACAAACTTGATAAAACTCAAATCAATAATGTCTTACATCGTGCATCCAAATGAATACAAGCTATCTAATCACCCCACAAATGGGTAATTACTAGAGATGTTAAACGGGCTAGCTCTAGCGGGCTTCGGGCTAAACGGTCTGGGTCTAAAAAGTCCAAATTTAAAATAAAAGGATCTAACCCTAAACCTAGCGAGCTTCGGGCTAAACATGCTATAATAATAATAATAATAATAATAATAATAATAATAATAATAATAATAATAAACAATAAAAAATAAAAAATTACAACACTTAGTTAACGGTATTTTTCAACGGCTATTTAGTATTTACTACTATATATATATACAACTACACTTCATATATGTACACACATTACAAACTCTTAAATAACATATTGTTTCTCAATAGAAAAAAAAATGTTCGAACTATTACTTATAACTACCATTTGACTAGTTATTTGGTACGCTTCGGGAATTCTATCACTATATTTTAAGTGTTAGGTCTTTGTCTCTTTTAATTTTTATAAGCCGTTCTGATTTACTTAAATATTTTGCTGGGAAATAGAATAAAATTTGTTAATAATTATCTATAAAAAAAAATAATAATATATTATAACTCATAATTACATGTGAAGTAGAATAGTAAAATTGTAATATACAAGGAATCATGAGTTATATTCCTTATCTTTCTAAAAACATATTGAATCGTATAAAATGATCCCGAGTGCGCTCAACGTTGTACGAACAATTATAAAAACAACAATTTGCGGAAGCAATTACCAAAGATTTAAAAACTCTTCAGGGAAGCATCCCGCTTCCCTTCAGAGCTCTTTCATTGACAACTATTGAATACATAGTTTGGATTTACAAAGTAGAACTCCCTTCTATTCTAACCACAACTATGATCTAGCCTATCAATTACTTCTCCGGCCACGTCCCGTGGACTTACTTTTCACACTTACTCCCTAAGTGTAAATGATTAAAATGTTTAAATCAGAATAAACGAAAACAATACAACTGAAATGGTCTCAGTTCCTCGTCGATCAAATCAATCGAGAGCTGAACCAAAGTGAAAAAAAATGTAAGCAAGAAACTTGAAGCTTGAAGGTGATGAACAAATGCACTCACTTCAGCAGCATGCCTTCAATCTTCAAGATCTGTTTTTATATCA